ATGATAAAAAAATCCAAAAACAAGATTATCAACAACTGATAATTAAGCGGTTCTCGTGTGAATCGCTTAATTGATGTGGGATTTCTACGAAGCTGAGGCAGAAGGACTGTAGGCATACATTGTGATAAAAATAATATATTTTCCTAGTGAAAAAGGTGTGGTGCAATTTGGAGGTTATCATGGGTGATGAAGACTCTTGTGAAGTAAGGACCTCTACAAATATAATTTTTTGCTTGGTCATTTTTAGTAAGCAATTTGTGTGAAAAAATGATTTACACATTGGTTTAGTTAAACAAATACCAACATGAAGCCTGACGTCGTTGAGTCTCTTTTTATTGCGGTTGGGACGGTGCTATTAACTATTCACTGTCAGTTCGATTTAAATATTTATAGAGATTTTCTTTTCTAGCTTCAAGTACTTGTAGATAATAGTGGTGGAAACACTTCACAAACCGGAGCACGAATACACTCAAGTTCCAAAAAAATTGACTTCGTCACTTTTAGGAACCAAGTCATCCAAAACAACATCCAAGAGCATTTTTTGAAACCTTCTGTCCTGAATAATTTTGAGGACAGTGTTTTAAAACCCATTTTGTTGCTGGCTTGTGAAGAAAAAGATGAATTTAAAAGAGTGAACCATGAGACCGTCAAACTCCTCCTGGAAAAAGGTGCTAAAGCTGACTACGTTGACACAACATGGTACGGATGGGAGGCTTTACATTACGCAGCATATGCCTCAAACCCTGATAAATTACAAGCACTATGTGATAAACTAGGTGAAGATAGAATTAACACTTTGACCATGTTATCAGAAAATGCTCTTCACGTTTTGCTTGAGCATGGAACCTTAAGTCAAAGTTTTCACCTGTCGTGCCAGAATGGAACGGACACAAAGATGGCGAAAATCATCAACAAAGAAGAAGAAAACGTGACTAAAAGTGCTCAAACTTTGATTGACGCTAAGATTGATATCAACCATACGAACTTCTGGAACCAAACTCCTATTTTGATAGCTATCAAACGTAGATATTTTGGCGTGGTGAAGTTGTTACTGGAGAAAAGTAAAATAGATTTGGATTCTTGTAAAGACGCGGTTTCTGGAAAGACGGCCCGAGAACTATTGGAAGGGAAAGAAGGGTTCGGGAAACTACCAAAAGGTTTGGGTTCAAGATCAACCAAAGAGATTCTTTTTTCGTTCTTAAAATCCGGCCATGAAGATAACTTCTTGGAATACAATGGTGGAAAAATTAATAACATTAATGGCTACTGGGATGGTGACGACGAACACAACTCTAATTGTACTTTGTTACAATACTGTTTTCGCGGAGGTTTGATCTTCTGGTATAAAGATAAAGCGAACAATGATTGTGACTAGAATAGTCAAGATATCACGTCTAATCGTCTAGTGAACGTTTTTTGTGAAAGTGGAATGGGAAAATCCATCCAACATTTGATCAATAATGGAGCTGATCCCTATTTCACTTTACGAAAGTTTGAACAAGATCATTCCATCCTGGAAGCAGCTATCATCAAAGGGTACTACCCTATGGTAGCACTCATTTTAAGCAAACCCGACGCTGAACCACCACCATACGACAAAATCTGTACCTCTTTAGTTGAACTACTTAAAAATCACTCTCGCAGCATCGATTTGAACAACACTCTTGCAGTAGTTTTGAACTGGTTGCTCGACCAATTTCACACCCTCAGAGCAAACGAAGAAAAACTCAAAACCAGCGATCCAGACGCAGTACTAGACGAAAGTTTCCAAAACTCGTATGAAAAAATAGAAGCTCAAATGCGACTTGCTTAAGTTAGGTGCAAAAATCATCAGTCGAGAAAACCAACTTTTGTTGCTAAAATTCCCGAATTCGTTGTGTTGGACTACTGTAGATGATGGCAACAAGAATAACACGTCTTGGTGGTGTTATATAAACTCCACAATCACCCACTGGAAGATCTGCTTCTGTTTATCGTTTTAGCAATTATGATGTATTTTTTTGACACCAAGTGGAATGACGTTTTTCGAGTTTTGTCAGTTTTGAGCTCAAACGTGGTCCTTTTTTTCCTACTAGAGAACGTTCCAGCTTGCTCCAAATATGTTATTATACTCCGAAAGATGTTTTTCTATCTTAGATACATATTTTTCTATTTTATCCAATTCCTGGGTTTTGCCATCTGTTTCTATATACTTTTTGCCAAAAAGAACCAAGTGTGGACAACCGAGATACCAAACAAGATTTTCGATACGGTTGTTTTGTTCACTGGAAACTTGGACTATATGCAGACCCCTTGGAAGCACGAAAACAACAATGGTAACAATAGTACAGACCAATCTCTCTACCACGACTTCCCCCACAAGGAATCTTTTTCAAAATTTATCTTCATTCTATTCGTACTCTTCCTAGCTATCATTTTCCAAAATTTGCTTCTTGGTTTGCTAGTTGTCGACATGGGCAATCTTCACAAGGACTCCGCTTTGTCAGAGCAAGCCAAAAGGGCCGCTTTCGTAGTCCGGATGAACATTTTCTTCAAAAGTAATAGCTTCATGAAGATTTTGGCAAAGGTGTACCAGTACTCGGATTTGAAACCCGAGTCAAAAATAACTGTGGACGGTAACGACAGGAAAGTACTGACCAAAGAAGAAAAGCAAAATTTGGATTTCATGTTGACAAAAAAGACGAAAAGTCCCAATATTTTGAAGAAGCTGCTCGACTACGTGAAGATGAAAACAAACGAGCAAAGCGGGGAATACTGGCGGAATGAGAGGAAAAAACAAGTTTTTGACAAGGCGGTGATAGAAGAAATCGTCAAAAATTTCTATAGAATCCAAGAAATGAAAGTGTGAAAAGTTGTTGAATTTTGAAGCCTTACCTATAATTATGTTTTTGTAACAAAGTGCCAATAATTTGTAATTATTTTGTATGAAATATATTTTTATCGTAGCGTAATGTTAAACTCTCTAAGACATTTTTTACCATAGGAGGACGAAACCAAGAATGATAAAACCAAGAATGACGAAACCGAGAATGACGAAACCAAGAATGATAAAACCAAGTGCAAAGTCTGCGGCGAAATCGTTCTTAGCAAAAACTTGAAAGACCACAGAACAACTTTCAAACACATAGAAGCTCAGAAGCAGAAGTACGGAGAAACCGAATGCAACATATGCAAGGAAAAGTTTCCCAATGGGTACTGGAAGCAGCACAAGAACACCAAAACACACATCTTAGCTGAACAACAAAAAGAAATCAGCAAGGTTAGAAAAAAAATCTTCTAACTTATTTTTAACACATGTTGTTTTAGACCGTTAAAACCATGAAAGAGGGCGAAACCGAGGTGTACACTCTTCGTCCAGGCTCTAACGAAAACCGACACTACATCAACACTTTGACCACATTTCTGGCAGTCCGATTCGCTTTGAGCACCAATCAAGATTTCAAAGTCTCGGTTAACAACGACAAGTGGAACGATTTTGGAGATATCGTCTTCGAGTTTGACCACCCTGAAAAAACAATCGAAGCAATTCGCTGCAAGAAAATCGAAACTAAGAATAAGTACACCCCGGTTGCGCTCACCGCGGAGTCGGGGAAACTCAGCCTTAAAGAACAGTGCGAAATTTTGAAAAAACTAAACCGCAAAGACGATTTCGTCAAGACGAATTTTAAATTATACACAGTTTCAAGTGTCAAGGTTGACAAAAATCCAGAAGTGGTTTACGACGAGAGTGATGTCCAGAAGTGGCAATCCGATGATAAAGAATCGTGGAAAGGGGTGAAAGTTGAAATCAAGCAGTCCAAATCCAAGAAGAAGGATTTGTTCAACACGACGGATGATGCTGATGATGTTTGTACCTTCCAGATGGTGAACCATGGGGATGATAGTATTAATGAAGACTTGTCGAAGTTCCAGATGTACATCAAACAGAAAAGAAAACCGGAAATGATGTCCTTCATTGACACAATCATCAAGGATAACTTCTATATCGACTTTGACGTTTCGGATGAATTGTTCAAGTACGTTAGAAACAAATTTAAGACCGAGAAGGTTCTTAAAAAGGGAGAACGTTGTTTGAAAGTGACCAGGGAAAACGTGTTGGTAAAAATCGCAGAAATCTTGCTGAGTCCATTTCTGGTTGTTCCGCATGACCTAATCGAAGAGAAAGATTTAGATCTGTGGAACGACTCAATCAAAGAATTTGATATCACGGTCCTTAAAGACGAGGAAGATATCGTTACAAAAATCTACAAAGGTATTAATCATGTTCTCAAACAAGAAATTAACTACTCTTTGAGTATCTTCCGTGAAGTCCAAATCGACACCGAAAATATAACCAACGAAAAACTAAAAAAGAAACTTTTTGGGTATGACGGTTCTCTCAAATTCTTGTATCTAGCTTTGTGGAAATCAGGTCTAACACCCTTGATTTTGAGAGCCCAAGACCACAAACAACTCCATCTCATCTGCGACGTTGTAACTTTTCTCAAACAAGAAAACTTTCTTTTGAAGTTTGTGATAACCACTGACCTCAAACTAGATCACCGGTACTTCTCAGAAAAACTAAAAGTATTTTTGAGCATGTCTGATCTCAAACTTCTTGAAAACGTGGTTTTGGAGAAGATTCTTTCAAAAAAGATAAAAGTGTTGAAGTTAGACTGTCAAGTAAGTTTGAAAGAAATCGACAAATTGAATTGTGATTTTTTGAAGAAGTTGAGTCCTCATGCTTTTTTGAACATACTTTTCGATGATTATTCTTTTGTGAATGTTCAGGTACCGATGACAAACGAGATTGACGACAATACTATAGTTCTTGGTGATGATGTTATCAGACAGGTGGCACAGGACCTGAATGAAAGAGAGGGAAGCACTGAGAACGAACTGAATTATCTGATTACCGTAGATGAAGAACCGACTTACATTCACGTGCCACCACAACTTTAATCACACTAAGTAATAATAAATGATTCCTGTTTGTGTTATCAGTGTTTAAATTTTTATGACTTATCCCCTCTCGACTTATCACTGTTTGTCCAATTAGCTCTATTCTTGTTACAATAGAGCCGCTGCAGTGTCCACAATTGACGAAAAGTTCAAGTTGCCCTCTAGACTCACCCCCACGCAGAAAAATATTTGGTAAAATTTACACCTTTTTGGTTTCTTGGGGTTTTCTTTTTTCCAGGATAGAATATGTCCAGCTAGCTGAGGACTACAAGCCCTTGAATTTAGGGCTAGGGTTCCCAGACTACCCTCCTCCGAACTACGTCACCCAAACTTTAGCCCAAATTGCTAAATGTGGTGATTGTCTTCTCCATCAGTACACTCGGGATTATGTAAGGATATAGTTGAAACTAAAAGAGAGTCAATGATGACTTGTAGGGTCACCCTCGACTTGTGTCCGCCCTTTCCCAACTCTACTCCAGACTACTAAAACGCCCAATTAACCCTCAAACCGAAATTTTAACCACCGTTGGAGCCTTCGAAGCTTTCTTTTCGACCATAATTGGCCACGTAGACCAAGAGGATGAAGTCATCATCATTGAACCCTTCTTCGAGTGTTACGAGCCGATGGTCAAAATGGCTGGAGGCGTCCCCAAATTTAACCCTCTGCGACTAGTAATGCAACACCCCACTTAGTTAAAAAATAAACTCACTTGGAGTTGTAGAAAGATCTTCCACCCAATCAAGTACCTACCTCTGGTGACTGGAACCTCGACAAAGACGAACTCGAGGGTCTCTTCACCCCCAAAACCAAGCTACTTGTGCTAAATAACCCCCACAACCCCCTCGGCAAAGTGTTCAAACTTGAAGAACTCCAACACATCGCGGATTTGTGCAAAAAGTGGAATGTGTTATGTATTTCTGACGAAGTCTACGAATGGATTGTCTACAAACCCAACAAACATATTCGAATCGGTAGGTAAATTACGCTGGTGTTACCATGATGACTATTCATTTTAGCTACTCTTCCTGGAATGTGGGACAGGACTATCACTATTGGTTCGGCTGGGAAAACCTTCAGTGTCACTGGGTGGAAGCTAGGATGGGCCTATGGCCCCTCTAACTTGCTCTACAATTTGCAAATGGTCCACCAGAACTTTGTCTACACTGGAAACACACCCATCCAGGTTTGCTCTCACGTTTCCAGAAACACACTCACTGGTTCTGAAGGAAGTTGTAGCTATTGGGTTGGAAAATGAGCTCGAATGTCTAGATCGGGATGATTGTTATTTTAATTCTATTTCGTCGGAGCTGGTGGTTAAGAGGGACTTTATGGTGTGACGGGCTTGGGAGATTTTCAAAATTAACTTTTGTTAATTTATTATATATAAAACTGTAAAACTCTTGTCGCGGACCTTGTGCCCGACATATAGTGAAAATATTATTTATTTGTTCGTAGGCTGGTTCGTGATGATGGTAACACATTCTAGTGACTGGACAAAGGGACTACTTCAAGTATATGCATTTTGCTTAAATGAATAATTATATTTAATTTAGAAATGAGTATGTACAAAAGAGATTTAGTCATATGAGAATAATTTGGTATAACAATAAATTGTAGTGTAGTTTAATATGCAAATATAATTATCAGAAAATGAACTTCAGTATTAAAACATTTTTAAATAAATTCAAGAAAACTTTATAACTTTGAAACTAAATCTTTGAAAGCATAATAAAACAAACATTTAAAAAAAATCTAAAACAAAAATATAACAAAACTTAAAATTGGTACCATAACTCAAGATTTGGTAACAACTCAAACATTTGTAACAACTCAAAAATTTGGTAAGGAACATTATAGTAGTTGCGTGGTCAGCGTTCATCAAACAATATAACTGTTTAACTAATAATTTCAATGCAAATTAATCTTTAAAAATAGATCTAAATCTCAAAACGTTATCCAATCGAGAATACAAAGGGCGATTTATCATCAAAATTAAATTCAACTTTAAAAATATTAATAAAAACAAAACTTTGAACTTTTTATGAAATCGTGCACATTTTTGGAGATTTTAACACTTACCCCCTTGTGTCACAACACAAACACACACTAACAGGCAACTGGCTAGAGGACTCTGGTCTTTTTTGGATCTTTCGATCTTTTATAAGTAAAGACCCCTCCAAAGGAGTTGTTTTCGCAAAATTGTTTACAAGTTACCAGTTTATTTGGGGAGTCGTAAAAGTATTTGTGTTTCCACCAAATTTAGGCTTAATTAACTGTAATATGAAGATTTTTAGTGGCAAAATGTGCTTTTTGTTAAAATTAACAAATTTAAACCATGAAATTATAAAACCGGACAAAGACATCGTGTCCAGCTAAACGGCGCCAATATTTAACTGTGAAATTATAAACCTTGATTAGAATGGTGTGAAATCATAAAATCCAAGTTTCACAAGGACAACCTTGATTTTTACGACAATGACGATTGTTCTGATTCATACCAACATCTCCAAAAATAAGTAAATTTATCGCCCGTTACAATGGTTAAGGTTTTGAGTGAGGTTGGAATGAAGCCCACGGTTCCAGAAGGTGGTTATTTTATGGTGGCGGACTGGACACCACTGGAGTCCCAGATTGATCTGAGTTCGGAGAAGGATAAATGGAAGGACTATCGTTTTACCAAGTGGATGACCAAGAATCTGGGTTTGCAGGGGATACCACCGTCTGCGTTTTACACCGAGAGGGATAAGAGTTTAGCTGAAAATTTTGTGCGATATTGCTTCTTCAAGGTAGTAAAGAAATAAACACAATTTTGTGTTAAATAATAATTGTTATAGAAACACGAAAATTTGGAAGAGGCTGCCAGAATTTTGAAGAAGTGGAAGTCGTAATATGTATTCAAGGAAAAGTTTTTGCTGGAACTTTTATCTACTATTAAATAATTGATGATTATTATTATTAATAATAAAAAAATTATCGCATCGACAACCCACTATACAAATGTAATAGACATTTCTAGTAGCGCCCTTCAGTGGCCAGTTCGAAAACTATACATTTTTTTTAATAATGGTTTGTGCTGTGATTTGCTAGTTCATTTTAGTGATTACAGAAACCAATGACTACATCGCGGTAACAAAATTTGATAATGATGTCATCAATTAAGCCATTATCTATTTAAAATTTATCATGTCCGCAACCCACTATACAGAAGATGTAGCCTTCCAAGTCGCGCCCTCCGTTATCCAGTTCTAAAACTACGTATTCTGTACCGAAGAGATCAAGGGGTTCTTGTTTTGAGCATTTTAGCATTATTGATGTTAATTAATTCATTTCTGAGACAAAAACCTGAAATAGTTGCTAATTTGAGCAACACATAAATGAACCTCATAGTAAATAAGGTGGATCCACACAACAACAAGCCTCGTTCACACCAAACCAACAATAACCTTAAAACTTTTTGCAGGTATCACTGGTACTGAACGCCCCCCAGCCACGTTAAAGAAATGACAGAAGTTGTAGTTCCAGGAGTGATCAACATGGCACGTACAAAAAAGCAGCCAAAAGTATGAACAAAACGCTACCATTTTTCATACAACTAATTTGTTAAAGCGTTTTGGATGAGAAAGTATCATGTTATGGGTGTCGCGACTCAAAGGTGAGCCTGTTCTGAGCATCGTTCTATTGCGAATGTGTGTGGTGTATGAAATATGTTACGAAAACGAAGCAGCGAATAATGAATTTGTTGTAACGGTGTATTTTTTTAAATTTGAGGAAAAACAAGCTAAATTTATATAATTGTATTTATCAGTTAGGTGTGACATTTTTGAAATACTTATCACAAATCTTAATATTTACCTGTCGCTAGTAAATATGTAAGTGAAATATCAATAAAACTTCAATTTTAAAACGAGAGTTTACGTAACAAACATTTACTTATGATTTAAGAGCCGATTTTGAAAGTATAACAAGTCTAGAAATTTGTTCCTACCAACAAACCAAGATAGCTTCGCTGAGATTCTTTCATAATCACATCTGAAGGACTAAACTGTAAAAAAAAGTTCTTTTGTTACAGTTTAGTTTAGAATGCGAGCGCAGCGAGCACATGCAGGCGTTACTAAAAAGAAGCTAAATTATTCAAAAAAAAATTTGACGTATATACTAACATTCCAAGGCAACGTGGTCCGTACAAGTACAGACAATATGAAATACATATAAAGAAAGTAATAAAAAACAGATAAATCCAAAACCAAAAATTTTATGAATCGAAAAATTGAAAAACCGAAAAATCGAAATCCGAAAAGTAGAAAAATCGAAAGATCGAACAATGGAAACGTTAAAAAATTTAAATATGTAAAAATCCAGGCACTGAAAAATTCCGAAAATTGAAGTGTTGAAAAATTGAGAAATCGAAACTTTGAAAAATCGAAAAATATAAAAATCACAAAGCCAAAAAATTTTTAAAATCGGAAAGCCGAGAACCCAAAAAATCGAATCAAAAAGCCCTGAAATCGAGAAGTTAAAAAATCGAAAAATTGGAGAATCAATAAACTGAAAAAAAAAACGAAAAGTTGAAAAATGGAAGTAACAAAGAACTGAAAAATTGAAAAATCAAGAAATTGAATAATCGGAAAACCGACATATCGAAAAAACCAAAATTTAAAAAGTCGAGACGTCAAAAAAAATGGAAAATTGAGAAATCAAAATAACTAAAAGTGAAATTTAACAATGAGAGATTTGAAAAATCGAAAAACCGAGACATCGAAAAATCCAAAATTTAAAAAATCGAAAAATTGAAAAATCGAAGTAGCTCAAAATCGATAAACTGAAAATTCGAAAAATTGAAAAATCGAGGAATTGAACAATCGAAAAATCGAAAGAAACATCGAAATCTCCAGAAATCGAAAAATTGAAACATTGGAGTGTTGGGAAATCGAGAAACCGAGAAATTAAAAAATTTTAAGAATCGAAAGATTGAAAAACCGAAAAATCGAAATTCGAATAATTGAGGAAACTAAAGTTTAAAAAACCAAAAATTTAAAATCGTAAAGCCTAAAATTCGAAAAATCGTAAAACTAAGAAATCAACAAAATCCAAATTTTAAAAATTCCGAAAGTTGAAAAATTGGGAAAAGGAAAACTTGTAACATCGAAAAATCTTAAAATCGAAACGTCAAAAAATTATTAAAATTGAGAAACCGAATCAAAAAAACGTCAAATCGAAAAATTAAAAAATCCAAAACTAAAATTTAAAAAATCAAAAAATTGGAAAGCCAAACAGTCGTAAAATTAAAAAAACACAAAAATTCGAACCATCGAAAAGTTGTAAAATTCGAAACCACGAGAAATTCAAAAGACGAGAAGTCAAACACTTGATTAATCGAAAATTCGAAAAATTGAAAAATTGAGAAATTGAACAAACCAAAAAAATCGAAACGTCGAAATTTCAAGAAAAAACAAAAATTTTACGAATCAAAAAACTGAAATACCGAAGAATCAAAAGTCAAAGAATTGAATTTGAAAAACCTAGAAACTGAAAAATCCACAATTTAAAAAATCGAAAGACTGAAAAATAGGAAAATTAGAATATCGAAAATCCAGAAACTGAAAAATTTCTAAAACTGAAATTTGAAAAATCGAAAAGTCAAAAAATTATTATACCTGAAAAACCGAGAATTCAAGAAAACAAATCAAAAAATCGTAAAATCGAAATATTAAAAAATCGAAAACTTTAAAATTTGAATAATTCAATATAATTTAATAGACTGAAAAATAATTAAGTTCGAAAAATTGAAAAATAGAAATACAGAAGAACTAAAAAATTGAGAATTCGTGACATCACAATAACCGAGAAATTGAAAAGCTAAAAATTCAAAAATCAAAAGATTTAAAATGAAAAAATGAATAAATCGAAAATTCGAAGACTGCAAGATCGAAAAATTGAAAGATTGAGAATTCGAAACACCAAAAAACTGAAAAATTTTAGAATTCCAAACATTGAAAAATAGATTTGTCCAAGAATTAAAGAATCGAGAATTCGAAAAGTCGAAAAATTGAACAACCCAACGAAAATTAGAGAATCGAACAATTGAGAAATCCCAAAACTGCAACATCGAAAAGTAAAAAATTGTAAAAACTAAAAACTGAAAAATCCAAAAATCAAGAAAACGAGAAGTCGGAAAATAAACAAACCAAAAAATTGAAAACTGAAACATTGGAAGATTGAGAAATCGAAAAATGAAAAATTCGATAAATTTAAGGTTCACGGCGAATAAAAAAAATCACTACAATTGAGATAGGGTAGGTGGGCGGGTTGACTTTTCCTTTTTATTTTAATATATGTAGACTTTTTTTCACAACATGAAACCAAAGTGTATGTAAAGAGAACAAAGGCGAAATATAAGCCCCGCCCACCCGCCCTATCTTAATTCTGATGATTTTTTTTATTCGTCTTAAGCTTAATTGCAAAATCCTTATTTTTCTACGACAAATTACCATATGAAATATGTTCTTAAGTAATCGTGTTATACAAAGAAAACTAAATGTATTAATTACAAAAGTAAACCAAAAGAGAAGCTCCACCCATCCGTGTCGATCTCAATCAAGATGAATTTTTCATTCGTTGTCAGACCGAGGGGCGGAGCGTAATTACAAAATCGATATTTCCCTATACAAATTTACCATTTTAAACATGTTTTAAATTTCTTGCTGTGAAAAGATGACTACACATATTAAGAAAAAAGGCAAAATGTAGACCCCGCCCACCCACCCTATCTCGATTGTGATGATTTTTTTATTCGTTGTCTGGTTGAGGGGCGGGGCTTAATTATAAAATCCATATTTGTCTACAAGAATTTACCATGTTAAACGTGTCTTACGTTTCTAAGAATAAAAAAATCATCACAATTGAGATAGGGTGGGTGGGCGGAAATTTTTTTTCAACACGAAACTAAAAAACATGTTTATAATTTCTTGTAAAGAAATAAGTATTTTGCAGTTAAGCTCCGCCCCTTACTTCACGGCGAATAAAAAAATATATCACAATTGGGATAGGGTGGGTGGGCGGGTTGACTTTTCCTTTTTGTTTTAATATATATATGTAGACTTCTTTTCACGACATGAAACTAAAGTTAAGAAAACAAAGGCAAAATATAAGCCCCGCCCACCCGCCCTAACTCAATTCTGACGTTTTTTTATTCGTCGTAAGCTTAATTGCAAAATCCTTATTTTTGTACGAGAAATTACCATGTGAAATATGTTCTTAAGTAATCGTGTAAGAAAACTAAATGTATTGAATACGAAAATAAACCAAAAGAAAAGCTCCACCCCTGCGTCTCGATCTCAATCAATATGAATTTTTCGTTCGTTGTCAGATCGAGGGGCGGAGTGTAATTGCAAAATCGATATTTCCCTATTCAAATTTACCATTTTTAACATGTTTTAAGTTTCTTGCTGTGAAAAGATTACTACACATATTAAGAAAAAAGTCAAAAAAATCGAAATACTGAGTAACCGAACAATTGAAAATTAAGAAACTGAAAAACTGAAAATCCAGAAATTAAAAAATCGAAGAATAAAAAAACTGAAAACTAAGGTGGTTTCAACATAGATTCATAAACTACAAATGGAGGGGTTTTACCCTCTACATGCAATTTTTAACATACATTTGACAACAATCTGTCGGCAGTTTCGGAGATTATCAGTCAAATAAAAATCTGGACAGATAACAGAGAGACAAACGGATACGGGAGATCTATTTTTCGTACTCTAGGGGTCATGAAATGTCGAGAATACATGAAAGTACCCAGTCGCCCGATGGACACTATTTCAATACGAAGTTCCATAGCTTGTCTCGGGTAAAAACTCAACACGGATCCATAAACTAAACGTGCAGGAGCTTATTATATAGTTAAATAGGTACTAAAGAATGTTGTAGGGATATCAATAATCGTTTGGCGAGTCCACTCATCGTGTTTTTTTCCCAAAACCTCTACAGTAAACAACTTTAAATATTTCAATGAAAGTAAATATTAAATATTTCAATAAAATTGTAATAAATAAATAAACTAATGATAAAAAAAACCCAAAAAACAGATTGTCAACAACTGATAACTAAGCGGTCCTCGCGTGAATCGACGTGGGATTTCTACGAAGGTGAGGCAGAAGGACTGTAGGCATAACTCCGACCGGGTGTCGGGTTGAAAGCAACGTCCACTTTCTGCTGCCACGTAACTCTTAACTTTTCTACTAAAACTGATTAGTAGCTAAATTAATGCACTCATATTAGTACAAACGCCAGTTCGACGGTGATAATATAATATATCTTCCTAGTGAAAAAGGTGTGGTGCAAAGGTTACCATGGATATTGAAAACAGTAATGAGGTAGGTACCTTCGAAAAATACGAGATAATTTTTTTGTTTGGTCATTTTCGGTGAGTATTTTGTGCGAAAAAATTATTTACACATGGGTTTAGTTAAACAAAAACCAACGTGAAGCTTGACGTCATTGAGTCTATTTTTTACGAACTGTCAGTTCGGTTTAAATATTTATAGCGTTTTCTTTTCTAGCTTGAAGGGCTTGTAAATAGTAGTGGTCGAAACACTCCACAAACCGAAACACAAGTCATCCAAAACAACATCCCAGAGCATTATTTAGACCCTTCTGTCGTGAATGACAACACCGTTTTGTTAATGCCTTCTGAAGAAAAAGCTGAATTTAAAAAAGTGAGTAATGAAACGGTCAACTTTCTGCCGGAAAAAGATACCGATATTGACTACATTAACACAAAATGGTACGGATGGGAGCCTTTACATTACGCAGCTTATGCCTAAAAAACCCTGATAAATTAAAAGAACTATGTGATAAACTAGGTAAAGATAGAATTAACACTTTGACAATGTTATCAGAAAATGCTCTTCACGTTTTGCTTGAGCATGGAACCTTAGGTCAAATTTTCAACGTGTCGTGCCAGAACGGAACGGACACAAGGATGGCCAATATAATAATAATAATAATAGTTTATTAACGGAAAGAAACTCCTATTACATAAAACAAGAAAGCAATTCATTAAGTAACTTATAACTAAAAATTTAGGATGTACATGAAATAAAACTAAAACTAAATATAACATTCTTTGATGCAGATATTAGCACACCACAAAACCTAATGTCGCTATAATAATGATAATCTATATTCACGGGCAAGTAAGTATCCCATTTACAATAATAATGATACAGATTACATTTACAGTAACTTTAAGAACACAGTAAATGATGGACACGATTTTTAAAAACAGCATAAGATTGACAATTAAAAAAATCCAATGAATCCGAGAACTCATTGCAAGTACGGAGTGCTGTGTTCAATGGAGAATTTAAAGTATAGTTTCTCCTACAGCTTTCTATACTAAACAATGGACTTCTCCTCACAGCAAACTGCGGAACATAAAAAAATAGGGAATGCAGAATTTCGTTACAGTCCAAAAGATTGTTCATGACTCTAAAAACAAAGCAAAGTTGAAAGTATTTTCGTCTAGTACATAATGTTGTCATTCCAAGATAGCTCAAACTTAAATTGTAATTGAAGTCTATTTGTAAATTGTTAGGCAATTTATGCTTAACACAATTAAGAAATTTTCGTTGTATCGCCTCTAATCTGTCGATATGGATTTTATATTGAGGTGACCAAAGTATACATCCATACTCCGTTACCGATCTAACTAGTGTAACATACAAAGTTTTTATTGTTTGTAAATTTTTGAATTCACTACCGTATCTTGTTACACACCCTAAGATTTTATTAGCTCTACACACAATTTTTTCGTAATGTGGTATAAATGTCAACTTCGAGTCCAAAGTGATACCTAAGTCTCTAACTTCAGAAACAAAGTTAAGTATTTGGCCATTTAAAATATATTTAACCTTGCATGATACAATTTTCCTACTAAAATTTATTGCGTGACATTTATCTTCATTTAGTAACATATTGTTGGAAACACACCACTCTTCCAGATGACCAAGATCTCGTTGTAGAGTTGTAACGTCATTTCTAGAATTTATAATTCTAAAAATTTTTAAATCATCAGCGAATAGACGATAAGGACTTTCAAATTTATATCCTATGTCATTAACATATATCAAAAATAATAGGGGCCCCAGAATTGACCCTTGGGGAACTCCCGAGGTTACATTCACCATATGTGACAGACAATTGGCTATCTTAACCTGTTGCGATCTATTGGAAATATACGAGATAAACCATGTAAGTAGGGACCCTGATACACCGTACTCTTCCAATTTATGAATAAGGATGGAATGGTTCACTTTATCAAATGCTTTAGAAAAGTCCATATATATTGAGTGAACCTCGGAACCTCTACCTAACGCTGTTAAAATGAGGTTGACGTAGCTGAATAAGTTAGTAACTGTTGAACGTTGTTTATAAAAACCATGCTGTTCAGGAATAATTAAAGAATTAAAGATAGGTGTTAGTTTTGTGATCAAGCAAGATTCAAATATTTTACTTACAGCAGATCAACAAAGAAGAAAAAAACGTGACTAGAAGTGCTCAAGTTTTGATTGACGCTAAGATTGATATCAACCACACGAACTTCTGGAACGAAACTCCTATTTTGATAGCTATCAAACGTAGATATTTTAGCGTGGTGAAGTTGTTACTGGAGAAAAGTGATATAGATTTGGATTTTTGTAAAGACCCGGTTTGTGGAAAGACGGCACGAGAACTATTGAAAAGGGAAGAAGTGTTGGGGAAACTACCAAAAGGTTTGGGTTCAAGATCACCAAAAGACATTCTTTTTTCGTTCTTAAAGTCCGGCGATGAAGATAACTTCTTGGAATACAATGGTGGAAAAATTAGTGACTTTGTTGACGACTTGGATGGTGACAACGCACACAACTCTAGTTGTACTTTGTTACAATACTGTTTTCGCAGAGGTTTGATCTTCTGGTATAAAGATAAAGCGAGCAATGATTGTGACCAGAATGGTCAAGATATCACGTCTAATCGTCTAATGAATATTTTTTGTAAAAGTGGAATGGGAAAATCTATCCAACATTTGCTAAATAATAGAGCTGATCCCTATACCACGTTAAGAAAGTTTGAACAAGGTCATTCCGTCCTGGAAGCAGCTATCATCAAAGGGTACTACCCTGTGGTAGCTCTCATTTTAAGCAAACCCGACGCTGAACCACCACCATACGATAAAATCTGTACCTCTTTAGTTGAACTAGTTAAAAATCACTCTCGTAGTATCGATTTGAACAACACTCTTGCAGTAGTTTTGAGCTGGTTGTTAGACCAGTTTAACACCCTCAGAGCAGACGAAGAAAAACTTAAAATCAACGATCCAAACGCAAAACTAGACGAAAGTTTCCAAAACTTGTATGAAAAAATAGAAGGTCAATTATCCGAATTGCTTAAGTTAGGTGCGAAAATCATCAGTGCAGAAAATCAACTTTTGTTGCTAAGATTCCCGAATTCGTTGTGTTGGACTAGTGAAGATGAAGACACTAAGAGTAAGACGTCTTGGTGGTGTTGTAGAAACTCCACAGAGAAAGATCCAGAAAGCAAAATCACCCACTGGAAGATCTGCTTCTGTAAGTCAGACAAAAAGTCAGTTATAGAAGAAATAGATCCAGAAGTGCTGCACAACCATTTGGACGACTGTGTGGAACAAGAGGGGAAAGATGTAAACATCAACTGTAACAGTTTTATCAAAGACGATTCGGTTTACCCGGTTTTTGATACTTTTTTGTCGTCTAAGAAAGTCAAAGGGAATCTCACTCACCTGGTTTTCAAAATTTTGATTATGCGACATTGGGAAAATTTGACACTAAGTATATTAGGCTATCCGGTTCAATACATCCACTTGAGCGTAGTTTGCTATGGAATATTTTACCTTCTCTTACATCTGTACGTTCTGTGTAGCTTTAACGACGTTCCTTGTCCCTATCTTTCAATTTTTGGGTGCATATTTTTAGTGATTTTCCTCGTAAAAGAGCTTCTACAGCTGAAAGCCAACTGTAAATTATATCTGCTAGAAATTAGTAATTATTTCGAGCTTATGTTCATCGTTTTTGCCTTTATAATGTACTCTTTTGACACCGAGTGGATTGACGTTTTTCGAGTTTTGTCAATCTTGAGCTCAAACATGGTCTTTTTTTTCCTACTGGAGAACGTTCCAGCTTACTCCAAATATGTTATTATACTCCGAACGATCGTTTTCTATCTTAGATACTTAGTTTTCTATTTTATCCAATTCCTGGCTTTTGCCATCTGCTTCTATATACTTTTTGCCAAAAAGGACCAAGACTGGACAACCGAGATACTAAACAAGATTTTCGAGACGGTTGTTTTGTTTACTGGAAACTTGGAATATATGGACACCCCTTGGAAGGATGAAAACAACAATGGTAACAATAGTACCAACCAAAATCTCTACCACAAATTCTCCTACAAGGATGTTTTTTCAAAATTCATCTTCAGCCTATTCGTACTCTTCCTAGCTATCATTCTCCATAACTTGCTTCTTGGTTTGCTCGTTATCGACATGGGCGATCTTCGCAAAGACTCCGCTTTATCAGCACAAGTCAAAAAGGCCGGTTTCGTACTTCGGATGCATATTTTCTTCAAAAATAATAGCTTCATGAAGATTTTGGGACAGTACTCGGAATTGGACCCCGTGTTGAAAATAACCGTAGACGATAACGACCGGAAAATATTGACTAAAGAAGAAAAGCAAAATTTGGACTTCATGTTGACGAAAAAGACGAAAGGACTGAATATTTTGAAGAAGCTGCGCAACTACATGAAGATGAAAACAAACGAACGAAATTAGAGAAAGAAACAAGTCGTCAAAAATTTGTATAGAATGCAAGAAATGAAAATGTGAAAAGTTGTTGAATTTTGAGGCTTTAATTATGTTTTTGTAACAAAGTGCCAATAATTTGTAATTATTTTGTATGAAATATATTTTTATCGAAGCGTAGTGTTAAACTCTCTAAGACATTTTTTTACTATAGGATGATCAAATCAAGAATGACGAAACCAAATGCAAAGTCTGCGGCGAAACCGTCCTTAGCAAAAACTTGAAAGACCATAGGACGACCTTCAAACACATTGAAGCTCAGAAGCAGAAGTGGGGAGAAACCGAATGCACCATATGCAAGGAAAAGTTTCCCAAAGGATACTGGAAGCAGCACAAGAACACCAAAACACACATTGCGGCCGAACTACAGAAAGAAATCAACAAGGTTAGAAAAAAATCTTCTTACTTACTTTTGACACTGTTGTTTTAGATCGACGAAACCACCAAAGAGATCGAGTGCCATATCTGCAAGGAAAAGTATCCCAAGGGCTCCTGGAAGCAGCACAAGAACACCAAAACACACATCCTAGCTGTACAACAAAAAGAAATCAACAAGGTTAGAAAAAAATCTTTTAACTTACTTTTGACACTGTTGTTTTAGACCGATGAAATCATCAAAGCGAGCAAGTGCCCCATATGCAAGGAAAAGTTTCCCAAGGGGTCATGGAAGAAGCACAAGACTACCGAAATACACATTTTGGCCGAAGAGAAAAAAGAGAAAAAGGTTAGAAAAAAATCTTCTAACTTACTTTTGACATTATTGTTTTAGAACACCAAAGAGATCAAGTGCCACATATGCAAGGAAAAGTTTCCCAAGGGGTCCTGGAAGCAGCACAAGACCACCGAAACACACATCGTGGCCAAAGAACAAAAAAAAGTCGACAAGGTTAGAAAAAAAATCTTCTAACTTACTTTTGACACTCTTGTTTTAGATTGTCGAACCTATCAAAGAGAACGAGTGCCCTATATGCAAGGAGATGTTTTCCAAGGGGAACTGGGAGAACCACAAGACCACCAAAATACACATCGCGGCTGAAGTACAGAAAGAAATGAACAAGGTTAGAGAAAAAAATCTTCTAACTTACTTTTAACACTGTTGCTTTAGATTAGCGAAACCGAGGTGTATACTCTTCGTCTAGGCTCTGACGAAAATCAACAATACACCAACACCTTCACCACATTTCTGGCAGTCCGATTCGCTTTGAGCACCATTCGAGATTTCAAAATCTCGGTTAACAACGACAAATGGAGCGATTTTGGTGACATTGTCTTCGAGTTTGACCACCCTGAAAAAACAATCGAAGCAATTCGCTGCAAGAAAATCGAAACTAAGTATAAGTACACCCCGGTTGTGCTCACCGCGGAGTCGGGGAAACTCAGCCTTAAAGAACAGTGCGAAATTTTGAAAAAACTAAAACACAAAGACGATTTGGTCAACGCGAATTTCAAACTGTACACAGTTTCAAGTGTCAAGGTTGACAAAAATCCAAAAGTGGTTTACGACGAGAGTGATGTCCAGAAGTGGCAATCCGATGATAAAGAATCGTGGAAAGGGGTGAAAGCTGAAATCAAACAGTCCACATCCAAGAAGAAGGATTTGTTCAACACGACGGATGATGCTGATGATGTTTGTACCTTCCATATGGTGAACCATAGGAATGAGAGCGTTAACGAAATCTTGTCGAAGTTCCAGATGTACATCAAACAGAAACAAAGACCGGAAATGATGCTCTACGTTGACACAATCATCAAGGATAAGTTGAATATCGACTCTGACATTTCGGGTAAATTACTCAAGTACGTTCAAGGCAAATTCAAGACCGACAAGGTCCTTAAAAAGGATGAACGTTGTTTGAAAGTGACCAGGGAAAACGTGTTGGTGAAAATCGCAGAAATCTTGCTGACACCATTTCTGGTCGTTCCGCATGACCTAATCCAAGAGAAAGATTTAGATTTGTGGAAAGTCGCAATCAAAGAATTTGATATCACTTTCCTTAAACACGAGGAAGATACCGTTACAAAAATCTACCAATGTATTAATCACGTTCTGAAACAAGAAACAAACTATTATTTGAATATCTTCCGTGAAGTCGAAATCAACACCGAATATATAACCAACGAAAAACTAAAAAAGGAACTCTTTGGGTACGACAATTCTCTCAAATTCTTGTATCTAGCGATGTGGAAATCAGGTCTAACACCCTTGATTCTGAGAGCCCAAGACCCCAAACAACTCCGTCGCATCTGCAGCGTTGTAACTTTTCTCAAAGAAGAAAAGTTTCGCTTGGAGTTTGTAGTTACAACTGATTTCAAACCAAATCAGCGGTGCTTGCCAGAAAAACTAAAAGTGTTTTGGAACATGTCCGATCTCAAATTTCTTCAGAAGAAAGTTTTTGAGAACATACTTTCAAAAAACATAAAAGTGGTGGACTTGAATTGTCAAGTAAGTTTGAAAGAAATCCACGAGGTGAATTGTAATTTTTTGAAGAAGCTGAGCCCTGATGCTTTTTTGAACATACTTTTTGATGATTATTCTTTTGTGAATGTCCAAGTACCAATGACGAAAGAGATTGTCGATAATACTATAGTTCTTGGTGATGACGTTATCAAACAGTTGGCAAAGTACTGGAATGAAAGAGACGAAAGCACGGAGAAGGAACTGAAGTATCTGGTTAGTGTTGATGAAGAACCGACTTACATTCACGTGCCACCACAACTTTAATCACACAAAATAATAATTAATAAATGACTCCTGTTTATGTTACTAGTGTTTTAATTTTTATTACTTATCTCCTCTCGACTTATCACTATTTGTCCAAGTCGCTCTATTCTTGTTACTGCAATGTCCACAATTGACGAAAAGTTCAAGTTGCCCTCTAGACTCACCCCCACGCAGAAAAATGTTTGATAAAATTTACACCCTTCTTGGTTTCTTGGTGTATTCTTTTTTCCAGGATAGAGTATGTCCAGCTAGCTGAGGACTACAAGCCCTTGAATTTAGGGCTAGGGATCCCAGATTACCCTCCTCCGAACTACGTCACCCAAACTTTAGCCCAGATTGCTAAAAGTGGTGATTGCCTTCTCCATCAGTACACTCGGGATTGTGTAAGGATATAATTGAAACTAAAAGAGTGTCAGTGATGACTGGTAGGATCACCCTCGACTTGTGTCCGTTTCCCAACTCTACTCTAGACTAGTGAAGCGCCCAATTAACCTTCAAACCGAAATTTTGACCACCGTTGGAGCCTTCGAAGCTCTTTTTCGACCATAATTGGCCACGTAGACCAAGGGGATGAAGTCATCATTATTGAACCACCAAATTTATCCCTCTGCGACTAGTAATGCAACACCCCACTTAGTTAAAAAATAAACTCATTTCGAGTTGTAGAAAGATCTTCCACCCAATCAAGTACCTACCTCTGGTGACTGGACCCTTGACAAAGACGAACTCGAGGGTCTCTTCAGCCCCAAAACCAAGCAACTTGTGCTAAATAACCCCCACAACCCCCTCGGCAAAGTGTTCAAACTTGAAGAACTCCAACACATCGCGGATTTGTGCAAGAAGTGGAACGTGTTATGTATTTCTGACGAAGTCTACGAATGGATTGTCTACAAACCCAATAAACATATACGAATCGGTAGGTTAATTACGCTGGTGTTACCATGATGACTATTCATTTTAGCTACTCTTCCTGGAATGTGGGACAGGACTATCACTATTGGTTCGGCTGGGAAAACCTTCAGTGTCACTGGGTGGAAGCTAGGATGGGCCTATGGTCCTTCCAATTTGCTCTACAATTTGCAAATGGTCCACCAGAATTCTGTCTACACTGGAAACACACCCATCCAGGTTTGCTCTCAAGTTTCCAGAAACACACTCACTGGTTCTGAAGGAAGTTGTAGCTATTGGGTTGGAAAAGGAGCTCGAATGTCTAGATCGGGATGATTGTTATTTTAATTCTATTTCGTCGGAGCTGGTGGTTAAGAGGGACTTTATGGTTAAGGTTTTGTGTGAGGTTGGAATGAAGCCCACGGTTCCAGAAGGTGGTTATTTTATGGTGGCGGACTGGACACCACTGGAGTTCCAGATTGATCTTAGTTCGGAAAAGGATAAATGGAAGGACTATCGTTTTACCAAGTGGATGACCAAGAATCTGGGTTTGCAGGGGATACCACCGTCTGCGTTTTACACCGAGAGGGATAAGAGTTTAGCTGAAAATTTTGTGCGATATTGCTTCTTCAAGGTAGTAAAGAAATAAACACAATTTTGTGTTAAATAATAATTGTTATAGAAACACGAAAATTTGGAAGAGGCTGCCAGAATTTTGAAGAAGTGGAAGTCTTAATATGTATTCAAGGAAAAGTTTTTGCTGGAACTTTTATCTACTATTAAATAATTGATGATTATTATTATTAATAATAAAAAAATTTTCGCATCGATAACCCACTATACAAATGTAATAGACATTTCTAGTAGCGCCCTCCAGTGGCCAGTTCGAAAACTACATTTTTCAAAATAATGGTTTGTGCTGTGATTTGCTAGTTCATTTTAGTGATTACAGAAACTAATGACTATATCGCGGTAACAAAATTTGATGATGATGTCGTCGATTAAGTCATTATCTATTTAAAATTTATCATGTCGGCAACCCACTATACAGAAGATGTAGCCTTCCAAGTCGCGCCCTCCATTATCCAGTTCTAAAACTATGTATTCTGTACCGAAGAGACCAAGGGGTTCTTGTTTTGAGCATTTTAGCATTATTGATGTTAATTAATTCATTTCTGAAACAAGAACCTGAAATAGTTGCTAATTTGAGCATTAGTTATTTTATCAACTAATCAATGAAAATGTATTACCAACAAAACACATAAATAAACCTCATAGTAAATAAGGTGGATCCACACAACAACAAGCCTTGTTCACACCAAACCAATAATAACCTCAAAACTTTTTGCCGAACGCCCCCCAGCCACGTTAAAGAAATGACAGAATTTGTAGCTCCAGGATTGATCAACATGGCACATATAAAAAAGCAGCCAAAAAAATGAACAAAACGCTACCATTTTTCATACAGCTAGCTAATATTTATATAGTTGTACTTATCAGTTAGGTGTGACATTTTTGAAATACTTATCACAAATCTTAATATTTACCTATCGCTAGTAAATATGTAAGTGAAATATAAATAAATCTTCAATTTTAAAACGAAAGTTTACGTAACAAACATTTACTTATTATTTAAGAGCCGATTTTTAAAGTAACAAGATTAGAAATTTGTTACTACCAACAAACCCAGATAGCTTCGCTGAGATTCTTTCATAATCACATTTGAGGTACTGAACTGTGAAAAAAAGTTCTTTTTTGTACAGTTTAGCTTAGAATACGAGCGCAGCGAGCGATTTAAAGAAGCTAAATTATTAAGAACAAATTTTGACGTAAATAAGAATATTCCAAGGCAACGTGGTCCGTACAAGTACAAACAACATGAGATACATTTAAAGCAAACAATTAAAAATAGAAAGTAGAAAAAAAAAATTAAATATGTAAAAATCCAGACATTGAAAAATCCGAAAATTGAATTGTTGAAAAATTGAGAAATCGAAACCTTGAAAAATCGAAACATAAAAATCCCAAAGTCAAAAAATTTTTAAAATCGAAAAACCGAGAATCCAAGAAATCGAATCAAAAAACCCTCATCGAGAAATTAAAAAATCGAAAAATTGAAGAACCAATAAACTGAAAAAAAAAAATCGAAAAGTTGAATAATGGAAGTAACAAACAACTGAAAAAGTGAAAAATCGAGAAATTGAAAAATCGGAAAACCGACATATCGAAAAACCAAAATTTAAAAAGTCGAGACGTCAAAAAAATTGGAAAATTGAGAAATCAAAATAGCTAAAAGTGAAATTTAACAATAAGAGAATTGAAAAATCGAAAAACCGAGACATCAAAAAATCCAAAATTTAAAAAATCGAAAAATTGAAAAATCGAAGTAGCTCAAAATCGATAAACTGAAAATTCGAAAAATTGAAAAATCGAGGAATTGAACAATCGAAAAATCGAAAGAAACATCGAAATCTCCAGAAATCGAAAAATTGAAACATTGGAGTGTTGAGAAATCGAAAAACCGAGAAATTAAAAAATTTAAAGAATCGAAAGATTGAAAAACCGAAAAATCGAAATCCGAATAACTGAGGAAATTAAAGTTTAAAAAAACAAAAATTAAAAAATCGTAAAGCCTAAAATTCGAAAAATCGAAAAACCAAGAAATCAACAAAATCCAAATTTTAAAAATTCCGAAAGTTGAAAAATTGGGAAAGGGAAAACTTGAAACATCGAGAAATCTTAATATCGAAACGTCAAAAAATTATTAAAATTGAGAAACCGAGAAGCCAAGAAATCGAATCAAAAAATCGTCAAATGAAAAAATTAAAAAACCCAAAACTAAAATTTAAAAAATCAAAAAATTGGAAAGCCAAACAGTCGTAAAATTAAAAATACACGAAAATTCGAAACATCAAAAAGTTGTAAAATTCGAAACATCGAGAAACAAAACACCAACATATCGAGAAATCTAAAAGACGAGAAGTCAAAAACTCGATTAATCGAAAATGCGAAAAATTGAAAAATTGAGAAATTGAACAAACCAAAAAATCGAAACGTCGAAATTTCGAGAAATTGAAAAATCGAAAAATTGAAAAAACAAAAATTTTACGAATCAAAAAACTGAAATACCGAAAGATCAATTTTTTTTCAACACAAAACTGAAAAACATGTTTATAATTTCTTGTAAAGAAATAAGTATTTTGCAGTTAAGCTCCGCCCCCTTGATTCTCGACGAATGAAAAAAGCATCACAATTGAGCTAGGGTGGGTGGGCGGGTTGACTTTTCCTTTTTGTTTTAATATGTGTAGACTACTTTTCACAACATGAAACTAAAGTGTTTCTTAAGAAAACAAAGGCAAAATATAAGGCCCGCCCACCCGCCCTAACTCAATTCTGACGATTTTTTTTTTCGTCGTAAGCTTAATTGCAAAATCCTTATTTTTGTACGAGAAATTACCGTATGAAATATGTTCTTAAGTAATCGTGTTATACAAAGAAAACTAAATGTATTGATTACAAAAGTAAACCAAAAGAGAAGCTCCACCCATCCGTCTCGATCTCAATCAATATGAATTTTTCATTCGTTGTCAGATCGAGGGGCGGAGTGTAATTGCAAAATCGATATTTCCCTATTCAAATTTACCATTTTTAACATGTTTTAAGTTTCTTGCTGTGAAAAGATTACTACACATATTAAGAAAAAAGTCAAAAAAATCCATATACTGAGTAACCAAACAATTGGAAATTAAGAAACTGAAAAACTGAAAATCCAGAAATTGAAAAATCGAAGAATAAAAAAACTGAAAACGTAAGGTGGTTTCAACATAGATTCATAAACTACAAATGGATGGGTTTTACCCTGTACATGATATTTCTAACATACATTTGACAACAATCTGTCGGCAGTTTCGGAGATTACCAGTCAAATAAGAACCGGACAGATAACAGAGAGACAAACGGATACGGGAGACCTATTTTTCGTACTCTAGCGGCCATGAAATGTCGAGAATACATGACAGTAACCAGTTGCCCGATGGACTGTATTACAATATGTCCTTCTTTAGCTTGTCTCGGGTAGAAACTCTACACGGATTCATAAACTAAACGTGCAGGAGCTTGTTATTTTATAAACTAGGTACTGAAGAATGTTGTAAGGATATCAGTAATCGTTTGGCAAGTCCCCGCATCGTGACGACATGGATTTTCCCAAAACCTCAACAGTAAACAACTTCAAATATTTCAATAAATTTGTAATAAGTAACACAAATGATAAAAAAAAAACAAGAAAACAGATTATCAATAACTGATAACAAATCGATTGGATTGTGAGACACCATGAATCGGCTAATAAAAATCCAGACAGGCTAAAACCGGAGACCTGTTTTTTTGTAACCTAGGGGTCACGAAACATCGAGAATACATGAAAGTACCCAGTCGTCCTTAGCTTGTTTAAGTGTAAATTCAACTCGGATTCATAGATCAAACGTGCAGGAACTTGTTACTTTATTAAATAGTTACTAAAGAATGTTGTAGAGATATCAACAATCGTTCGGCAAGTCCCCTCATCGTGATGAAACAGTAAACAACTTACAAGTATTTCAATAAACTTGTAAGAAATAAACAAATGATAAAAAAATCCAAAAACAAGATTATCAAAAACTGATAATTAAGCGGTTCTCGTGTGAATCGCTTAATTGATGTGGGATTTCTACGAAGCTGAGGCAGAAGGACTGTAGGCATACATTGTGATAAAAATAATATATCTTCCTAGTGAAAAAGGTGTGGTGCAATTTGGAGGTTATCATGGGTGATGAAGACTCTTATGAAGTAAGTACCTCTACAAATATAATTTTTTGCTTGGTCATTTTTAGTAAGCATTTTGTGTGAAAAAATTATTTACACATTGCTTTAGTTAAACAAATACCAACGTGAAGTGTGACGTCATTATGTCTATTTTTAGCGAACTATCAGTTCGATTTAAATATTTATAGAGATTTTGTTTTCTAGCTTCAAGGGCTTGTAAACAGTGGTGCAAACACTCCACAGAGCGAAACACGAATAAACTTAATATCCCCGACAATCGACTTCGTCACTTTTAGGGAGCAAGTCATCCAAAACAACATCCAAGACCATTTTTTGAACTCTGTTGTCGTGAATAGTGTCGACCACAAAAACGGTGTTTTAAAAAAACCGATTTTATTACTCGCTTGTGAAGAAAAAGATGTATTTAAAAGAGTGAACCATGAGACCGTCAAACTTCTCCTGGAAAAAGGTGCTAAAGCTGACTACCTTGACACAACATGGTACGGATGGGAAGCTTTACATTACGCAGCTTATGCCTCAAACCCTGATAAATTACAAGCACTATGTGATAAACTAGGTAAAAATGGAATTAACACTTTGACCATGTTATCAGAAAATGCTCTTCACGTTTTGCTTGAGCATGGAACCTTAAGTCAAAGTTTTAACCTGTCGTGCCAGAACGGAACGGACACAAAGATGGCGAAAATCATCAACAATGAAGAAGAAAACGTGACTAAAAGTGCTCAAGTTTTGATTGATGCTGAGATTGATATCAACCATATGAACTTCTGGAACCAAACTCCTATTTTGATAGCTATCAAACGTAGATATTTTGGCGTGGTGAAGTTGTTACTGGAGAATAGTAATATAGATTTGGATTTTTGTAAAGACGCGGTTTCTGGAAAGACGGCCCGAGAACTATTGGAAGGGAAAGAAGGGTTGGGGAAACTACCAAAAGGTTTGGGTTCAAGATCAACCAAAGAGATTCTTTTTTCGTTCTTAAAATCCGGCGATGAAGATAACTTCTTGGAATACAATGGTGGAAAAATTAATAACATTGATGACTACTGGGATGGTGACAAAAAACACAACTCTAGTTGTACTTTGTTACAATACTGTTTTCGCAGAGGTTTGATCTTCTGGTATAAAGATAAAGCGAACAATGATTGTGACCAGAATAGTCAAGATATCACGTCTAATCGTCTAATGAACGTTTTTTGTAAAAGTGGAATGGGAAGATCTATCCAACATTTGATAAATAATGGAGCTAAACCCTTCTTCGAGTTACGAAAGTTTGAACAAAGTCATTCCATCCTGGAAGCAGCTATCATCAAAGGGTACTACCCTGTGGTAGCCCTTATTTTAAGCAACCTCTATGTCGAAACACCACGAGACGACGAAGTTTTTAGTAAAATATGTACCTCTTTGGTTGAATTACTTAAAAATCACTCTCGCAGCATCGATTTGAACAACACTCTTGCAGTAGTTTTGAGCTGGTTGCTCGACCAATTTAACACCCACAGAGCAAACGAAGAAAAACTCAAAACCAACGATCCAGACGCAGTACTAGACGAAAATTTCCAAAACTCGTATGAAAAAATAGAAGCTCAATTGTCCGACTTGCTTAAGTTAGGTGCGAAAATCATCAGTCGAGAAAACCAACTTCTGTTGCTAAAATTCCCGAATTCGTTGTGTTGGACTACTGAAGATGATGGCAACAAGAATAACACGTCTTGGTGGTGTTGTATAAACTCCACAATCACCCACTGGAAGATCTGCTTCTGTAAGTCAGGCAAAAAGTCAGTTATAGAAGAAATAGATCCAGAAGTGCTGCACAACCATCTGGACGACTGTGTGGAGCAAGAGGGGTCACAAGTAAAAATCAACTGTGACAGTTTTCTCAAAGACGGTTCTGTTTACCCGGTTTTTGACACTTTCTTGTCGTCTAAGAAAGTAAAAGAGAGTCTCAATCACCTGGTTTTCAAAATCTTGATTATGCGACATTGGGAAAATTTGAAACTAACTATATTAAGCTGTTCGGTTCAATACATCCACTTGAGCGTAGTTTTCTATGGAATATTTTACCTTCTCTTTCATCTGTACGTTCTGTATAGCTTTAATGACATTCCTTGTCCTTATCTTTCAATTTTCGGGTCCATATTTTTAGTGACTTTCATTATAAAAGAACTTCTACAGTTGAAAGCCAACTGTAAATTATATCGGCAAGAAACTAATAACTATTTCGAGCTTCTGTTTATCGTTTTTGCAATTATGATGTATTTTTTTGACACCAAGTGGAATGACGTTTTTCGAGTTTTGTCAATTTTGAGCTCAAACGTGGTCCTTTTTTTCCTACTAGATAACGTTCCAGGTTACTCCAAATATGTTATTATACTCCGAACAATCTTAGATACATATTTTTCTATTTTATCCAATTCGTGGCTTTTGCCATCTGTTTCTATATACTTTTTGCCAAAAAGAACCAAGTCTGGACAACCGAGATACCAAACAAGATTTTCGAGACGATTGTTTTGTTTACTGGAAACTTGGACTATATGCAGACCCCTTGGAAGCACGAAAACAACAATGGTAACAATAGTACAGACCAAAATCTCTACCACGACTTCCCTCACAAGGAATCTTTTTCAAAATTTATCTTCATCCTATTCGTACTCTTCCTAGCTATCATTCTCCAAAATTTGCTTCTTGGTTTGCTCGTTGTCGACATGGGCAATCTTCACAAGGACTCCGCTTTGTCAGAGCAAGTCAAAAGGGCCGGTTTCGTAGTCCGGATGAACATTTTCTTCAAAAGTAATAGCTTCATGAAGATTTTGGCAAAGGTGTTCCAGTACTCGGATTTGAAACCCGAGTCAAAAATAACTGTAGACGATAACGACAGGAAAGTACTGACCAAAGAAGAAAAGCAAAATTTGGATTTCATGTTGACAAAAAAGACGAAAAGTCCCAATGTTTTGAAGAAGCTGCTCAACTACGTGAAGATGAAAACAAACGAACGAAGCGGGGAATACTGGCGGAATGAGAGGAAGAAACAAGTTTTTGACAAGGCGGTGATAGAAGAAATCGTCAAAAATTTCTATAGAATGCAAGAAATGAAAGTGTGAAAAGTTGTTGAATTTTGAAATTTTACGTATAATTATGTTTTTATAACAAAGTTATTTGTAATTATTTTGTATGAAATATATTTTATCGAAGCATAGTGTTAAATTTTCTAAGACATTGTTTTACCATAGGATGAAGAACCCAAAAATGACAAAACCAAGAATGACGAAACCAAGAATGATAAAACCAAGTGCAAAGTCTGCGGCGAAATCGTTCTTAGCAAAAACTTGAAAGACCACAGAACAACTTTCAAACACATAGAAGCTCAGAAGCAGAAGTACGGAGAAACCAAATGCACCACATGCAAGGAAAAGTTTCCCAATGGGTACTGGAAGCAGCACAAGAACACCAAAACACACATCTTAGCTGAACAACAAAAAGAAATCAGCAAGGTTAGAAAAAAAGTCTTCTAACTTATTTTTAACACATGTTGTTTTAGATCGTTAAAACCATGAAAGAGGGCGAAACCGAGGTGTACACTCTTCGTCCAGGCTCTAACGAAAACCGACACTACATCAACATTTTGACCACATTTCTGGCAGTCCGATTCGCTTTGAGCACCAATCAAGATTTCAAAATCTCGGTTAACAACGACAAGTGGAACGATTTTGGAGATATCGTCTTCGAGTTTGACCACCCTAAAAAAACAATCGAAACAATTTGCTGCAAGAAAATCGAAATTAAGTATAAGTACACCCCGGTTGTGCTCACCGCGGAGTCGGGGAAACTGAGCCTTAAAGAACAGTGCGAAATTTTGAAAAAACTAAAACCCAAAGACGATTTCGTCAACACGAATTTTAAATTGTACACAGTTTCGAGTGTCGAGGTTGACAAAAACCCGGAAGTGGTTTACGACGAGAGTAATATCCAGAAGTGGCAATCCGATGATAAAGAATCGTGGAAAGGGGTGAAAGTTGAAATCAAGCAGTCCAAATCCAAGAAGAATGATTTGTTCAACACGACGGACGATGCTGATGATGTTTGTACCTTCCAGATGGTGAACCATAGGGATGATAGTGTTAATGAAGATTTGTCGAAGTTCCAGATGTACATTAAACAGAAAAGAAGACCGGAAATGATGCTCTTCATTGGCACAATCATCAAGGATAAGTTGAATATCGATTTTGACATTTCGGATGAATTGCTCAAGTACATTAGATACAAATTTAAGACCGACAAGGTCCTTAAAAAACACGAACGTGGTCTGAAAGTAACTAGAGAAAACGTGTTGGTGAAAATCGCAGAAATCTTGCTGACGCCATTTCTGGTTGTTCCGCACGACCTAATCGAAGAGAAAAATTTAGATTTGTGGAACGACTCAATCAAAGAATTTGATATCACGGTCCTTAAACACGAGGAAGATATCGTTACAAAAATCTACAAAGGTATTAATCACGTTCTGAAACAAGAAATTAACTACTCTTTGAGTATCTTCCATGAAGTCAAAATCGACACCGAAAATATAACCAACGAAAGACTAAAAAAGAAACTCTTTGGGTACGACGGTTCTCTCAAATTCTTGTATCTAGCTTTGTGGAAATCAAGTCTAACACCCTTGATTCTGAGAGCCCAAGACCACAAACAACTGCGTCTCATCTGTGACATTGTAACTTTTCTCAAACAAGAAAACTTTCTTTTGAAGTTTGTGATAACCACTGACCTCAAACCAGATCACCGGTACTTCTCATAAAAACTAAAAGTGTTTTTGAACATGTCTGATCTCAAACTTCTTGAAAACGTGGTTTTGGAGAAGATTCTTTCAAACAAGATAAAATTGGTGAACTTGAATTGTCAAGTAAGTTTGAAAGAAATCGACGAGTTGAATTGTGATTTTTTGAAGAAGCTGAGTCCTGATGCTTTTTTGAACATACTTTTCGATGATTATTCTTTTGTCAATGTTCAGGTACCGATGACGAACGAGATTGACGACAATACTATAGTTCTTGGTGAAAACGTTATCAGACAGGTGGCACAGGAATTGAATGAAAGAGAGGGAAGCACTGAGAACGAACTGAAGTATCTGGTTAGTGTAGACGATGAACCGATTTACATTCACGTGCCACCACAACTTTAATCACACTAAGTAATAATAAATGATTCCTGTTTGTCTTATCAGTGTTTAAATTTTTACGACTTATCCCCTCTCGACTTATCACTGGTTGTCCAATTCGCTCTATTCTTGTTACAATAGAGCCGCTGCAATGTCCACAATTGACGAAAAGTTCAAGTTGCCTTCTAGACTCACCCCCACGCAGAAAAATGTTTGGTAAAATTTACACCTTCTTGGTTTCTTGGGGTTTTCTTTTTTCCAGGATAGAATATGTCCAGCTAGCTGAGGACTACAAGCCCTTGAATTTAGGGCTAGGGTTCCCAGACTACCCTCCTCCGAACTACGTCACCCAAACTTTAGCCCAGATTGCTAAAAGTGGTGATTGTCTTCTCCATCAGTACACTCGGGATTATGTAAGGGTATAGTTGAAACTAAAAGAGAGTCAATGATGACTTGTAGGGTCACCCTCGACTTGTGTCCGCCCTTTCCCAACTCTACTCCAGACTAGTAAAGCGCCCAATTAACCCTCAAACCGAAATTTTGACCACCGTTGGAGCCTTCGAAGCTCTTTTTTCGACCATAATTGGCCACGTAGACCAAGGGGATGAAGTCATCATTATTGAACCCTTCTTCGAGTGTTACGAGCCTATGGTCAAAATGGCTGGAGGCGTCCCCAAATTTAGCTATTGGATTGGAAAAGGAGCTCGAACGTCTAGATCGGGATGATTGTTATTTTAATTCTACTTCCTCGGAGCTGGTGGTTAAGAGGGACTTCAGGGAGTCCCAGATTGATCTGAGTTCGGAAAAGGATAAATGGAAGGACTATCGTTTTACCAAGTGGATGACCAAGAATCTGGGTTTGTAGGGGATACCACCGTCTGCGTTTTACCCTGAGAGGGAGATTTTTGCGGCAATTTTTATCTACTATTAATTGATTGTTATTATTATTATTATTAAAGAAAGATATAGACATTTCAAGGGTCACCATTGACAATTCGACAACTATACATTTTTCAAAATAAAAACTAAACATGAATTAATTCGTTTGTGGTTTGCTAGTTCACTTTAGGGATTACTAAAACTACTGACATAGTAGCAAAATTTGATGATGACGTCAGCAACCCACTATACAGGAGAAGTAGCGTTCCAAGTCGCGCCCTCCATTGGCCTAAAACTACACACTCTGACCCTAAGTAATCAAGGGGTTGTTGTTTTCAGCATTTGAGCCAGCTTTCAGAACCGTTATTATAAAGAGTAAAGTTTCGTCGTGACTACAAAACAGACTTTCTACAGTTCGGAAAAGTACGTCTTTGCTCTTTTTTAGGTAGGTGTTTTACTCATTGTCTCTATTTTTTTATGGTTTTTGGCGTAAATGGCGTTTATTTGGGTAGTTTAATACACTTACAGCCGCCATTTTAGCATTATCGATGTTAATTAATTCATTTCTGAGGTAAAAACCTGAAATTATTGTCAACTAATCAATGAAAATTAAAAAAATACAATGAATCCTCCACACAACAACAAGCCTTGTTCACACCAAACCAAAATAACCTCTAAACTTTTTTCAGGTACACTGGTAGTGAACGCCCCCCAGCCACGTTGAAGAAATGACAGAGGTTGCAATTCCAGAAATGATCACCAAAACACGTGTAAAAAAGCAGCCAAAAGTATGAACAAAACGCTACCATTTTTCAAACTAATTTTTTAATGCGTTTTAGATGAAAAAATATGAACTACTGAACATCATGCGCTTGAAATTAGAGTCCCAATCTTACAGAATCATTACCGAATTAATCGGGACTCTTCCGTCCTTAACACTTTATTGACAAAGTAGATTGTCAAGTCGTGACGGATGTTAACACTAGAACCCAAAATAGTCTGATCATTTTATAAAATATTAGAGTTTTTGACGCAATTATTTTGTCCAACAATACAGTGTAACTACCAATAAATAAGTACGCAACTTTACAGTGTAAGTCAATCTCTCTATTTCCCGCATCAAACACCTGTTTGACAGATTTCTGATTAATGACGCCTAGTTGAGGTTAGGTTCGTGTCAACTCAATGTCAAATGTCACGAAGAACGAGTGCATTCATAAATATTTTTAGTTAAGTAAGTAGTCTACCCAAGATAATTAAAAGCCTAGTCGCTGTTATCATTTTTATCAGAAAACAGTAAGTAAGTGTGTTGAGTGCTTACGCAACATATTTATTTAAATTAGAAAGCGAGTTGAACGGTTATTATCTTTTTTTCTAGATGGTTGTGAGAACTATTCTGCGCAGTAACCCTTTACATTTACTCAGAAGTCTTCAGAGTCGCCTTGTCGTCCCAAACTTCATTCACTCGACAACCACCATGTCATCAGAAATTGACCAGAAGTTCAAACTACCCGCAAGATACGCCGGAAGTGAGAAAAGCGTTTGGTAATTAGTAGCTTCATTATTATACTTAACTGGCTAATTAAAATTTTCAGGGTTGAATATATCCAACTGGCGCTAGAGCACAAACCCCTCAATCTAGGACAAGGTTTCCCTGATTATCCCCCTCCACGGTATGTGACTGACACCCTAGCTGAAGTCGCAAATAGCGACAACTGTCTCATCCACCAATACACCAGAGGCTTTGTAATTGTCTTCAACTTAAGTAGTTTCAAATGACTTAAAATATTCCAGGGTCACCCACGTCTGGTTGCCGCTATAGCCAAACTTTACTCAAAACTAATAGGTAGAGAAATCAACCCCCAAACTGAAGTTTTAACCACTCTAGGTGCCTATGAAGCCCTTTTCTCTAGTATAATTGGTCACGTGGATGTAGGGGATGAAGTCATTATTATTGAACCCTTTTTTGACTGCTATGAACCCATGGTCAAGACCGCTGGAGGCGTGCCCAGGTTTATTCCTTTAAGACTGGTAAGTTGTTGGGTTATGTTGTGCTAATTTTCAAAAAAATGGTTACTATAGAAAGAAACCAAGGGCAAAACGCTGCCCACTTCAGCAGACTGGGTTTTGGACAAACAAGAACTAGAGGGCTTGTTCAACTCCAAAACAAAAATGATCATTTTGAATACACCTCATAATCCATTGGGGAAGGTTTTCAGTAGGGAGGAACTAGAATTTATTGCAGATTTGTGCAAAAAGTGGAACGTTTTGTGTGTTTCAGATGAAGTGTATGAGTGGATTGTGTACAAACCCAACAAACACATCAGGATTGGTAATTACTTTTATAATTATATAATTTAATTTATATCAAGGTCAATTAATTAACAACTAATTGTTTTTAGCCACATTGCCTGGAATGTGGGAACGCACAATTACCATTGGGTCTGCCGGGAAGACCTTCAGTGTGACGGGGTGGAAACTGGGCTGGGCGTACGGTCCAGCCAACCTTATGGTCAATTTACAGATGGTCCACCAGAATTGTGTGTATACAGGGAACACACCCATCCAAGTCTGTACCAACTTTAATAAATTAAAAAAAAAAAAACAAAACTTGTTTCAGGAAACCACTGCCATCAGTTTTGAGAAGGAATTAACCCGGCTTGACTCCGACGAGTGTTACTTTAACTCAATTTCGGAAGAATTAGTGTCAAAGAGGGACTATATGGCGAAATTTCTCACTGACGTGGGTATGCAACCCACAATACCCGAAGGAGGTTATTTCATGATAGCTGATTGGTCCCCGCTAGGTACGTATCAAATTGTCTGCACAACCAATTCCAACTGGGTTATTTTAGAATCTCAAGTCAATCTTAACAGTGAAAAGGACAAATATAAAGACTATCGCTTCACAAAATGGATGACGAAGAACGTCGGTCTCCAGGGTATACCTCCCAGTGCCTTTTACAGCGTACCGCATAAACCACTAGCTGAAAATTTCGTACGATATTGCTTCTTCAAGAAGGACGAAAATTTGCAAAAAGCGGAGGAAATCTTAAACCAATGGAAAAGTGGAAAGGGGAAAATGGCTAATTAGCTCAATTGTATATATTTAAAAACATACGTAATTGGTGTGATACGTTGGATAATAAAAGTTTTATGTATAGTGGAGTTTGTTGTGCACCTTTCGTTAAAAAAATCGGTTCTGATTGGTCACTTTAAATCCGACCTTGACAGATCGCGTTGTTTTTTGGCAAAAAAAAACATGCAAGTCATAGTGTCAGATAACGTTTTATCTTTGTACACGACAGGTTTTCCAGTGAATTTGACTCATTTTCCACGGGTTGTGTGACTTAAAAATCGTCATGTCTGATTATCGGGATAAATTTGTTCTCCCTGGACGTTACCAACTGCGAAACAAACAACTTTGGTAGGGTGTAGGCAACCAGTAATACTTCACTATTTGTGTTTTATAGGATCGAATACTTCGAACTTGCTCGCAAATATAAACCCATTGATTTAGGGATTGGTAGTCCCGATTTTCTGCCACCCGATTTCGTACTAGACGCTTTTAAAGAAGCGGCTGGTAGTACCAACAATGAAATTTATCAATACACTAGGGGAGCGGTAAGTACTACCCAACTACCACTAGTTTTTGACAAAATAAAGAATTAAGGGCCACCCGAGACTCGTTGCTGCCCTTTCTAATCTACACTCCACTCTGATTGGTCGAGAAATTAACCCTCACAGCGAAATAATGGCAACACTGGGTGCCTACCATGCCCTATTTTTGGCAATAATGGCAACCGTGGACACAGGAGACGAAGTCATCATCATGGAACCATTTTTCGAGTGTTTTGAACACAATGTTAGAACAGCTGGCGGCATTCCACGTTTCGTACCACTAAAACCAGTAATCACGTTTTACAAACCCAACTACAATCGTCAATAGTTCGACTATACTTGTCCTTGTAGAAAGAAAACACAGACGGTACTCAAACGAACGACTGGGTTTTAGACTACGATCACTTAGAAAGTCTGTTTAACACCAAAACTAAAGCCATCATTGTTAACACCCCACATAACCCATTGGGGAAAGTCTTCACGTACGAAGAACTGAGTCAGATTGCCCGGCTTTGCAAAAAATGGAACGTTGTATGTATTTCGGACGAAGTTTACCAATTTTTGGTGTATGGGTCCAAAAAACACGTGTCAATGGGTATGTTTTCATTTTTTGTCTCGAATGGTTTTGATTTGTTGTTTAGCAAGTCTGCCGGATATGTGGGAAAGGACCATCACGGTTTGTACCGCCGGAAAAATTTTTGCTGCCACTGGATGGAAACTAGGGTGGGCTTATGGTCCCTCACACTTAATAGCCAATTTGCAGCTGATTCATTTCAGTAGTGTCAGGGCTGGCAATACTTTTCTTCAGGTGGTTGACCCATAACCCATTTCTGGTTACTACTGTGGTACTATTGTAGGAAGTTGGGGCCATTTGTGTGGAAAAAGAGCTGGCGCGACTTGGTACCACCGAGAGTTACTTAAAATCGTCAGCCAAAGACTTCGAGACCAAGCGAGACTTCGTGTACGACATGTTGAGTAGTACTGGGTTAAAACCTATTAAGCCCGATGGCGGGTACTTCATGGTCGCAAATTGGTCACCCTTGGGTAAGCAAAGCACCCTTTTATTACACCCTCTGTAAGTAGTACCCGTAGAGAAACACATCGACTTGAGTACCGAACCCGACGAATTCAAGGACTACCGATTCACTAAGTGGATGACCAAGAACGTCGGCGTTCAAGGGATACCAATCTCGCCTTTCTACAGCAAAGAGCACAAACATATAGGAGAAAACTACGTCCGGTACTGCTTTGTAAAAGTACGACCACCACTCTATGTAAACCAGTTTTTATTTCCTTTTTTCCAGACGGACGCTTACTTAGATAAAGCAGCACAGGCATTTAGAAACTGGAAACTCCAATTAAACTAATCGTTCGTAAATTGTTGTAGTACCTCAAGATTTATAAAAATCGTACTTGTGTAAATCTTAGTTGTAGTCCCCTCTCAGCCACCTTTTCGCGTCTCGTGAGTCATTCCCGTACGTTTTTCCAAACCTGAAACGGGAAACCGTCTTTTGCTTTGAGTACTCACAACTAGTACCCACCTGAAGATGGCTCCCGGAATATGCCCGCCGTAGTTGGGTAGTTGCCCGATATGTTTGTGGTAAATCTCCGTCGGTTTGATCAAAAGAGGAGGATCGGCGCGACTGATGGTAACCGGTGCCCACTCGGTACTCAATCTCTTGCGATAGTTAGACGTGAAGTCACACAAGGTACTGTTAGTCATCGCTTCGTTGGTCTTGCCGAACGCGGCGTACCCGAAAGGTACATGCCCTGCAAAACCTACACCCAAACAATAAATCACCAAAAGGTACCACCACACTACCATAGCGCTGGTTCTGTATAAAACTATTATAAATCTTCTCGTACATGACGATTCTGACTTACGATTTTGACTTTAGTGACAGTAAAACAAACGAACCTTTTTTGAAGTACTTTTCGGGATCGGTGTTATCCATGAAGTAGGGACTAGGTGAGTGTCGTGGGGGCGTAAGAGGTGCTTCCACTTGGGGAAGGTTCCTCAAAATACCGGCACATTCGGGTCGTACGTCGGTTAAAGGTAGTTTGAATTGAGTACTAGTCAACTAAAACACAACTAAAATTTGAAGAAACACCGAAAATGGGGTACCTCTCTGTCGGAAAGGGTGTTGGGGTACCACTTCGCGTCTTGCACCGCTCCTATTCGCAACAACTCGTGAAGGGCTTGTTTATCGGCGCTTTGAAGCTTCTCGAACTCGGCTAGGGCTTCGGTTGCTTGAACCGTGAAGCGTTGGCCCATGAGGTTGTGTTCTCTTGGTACGAAACCTGGAAGAGTACTTCAGGTGGGTGTGTGCACAAGGGGGAAGTACCTTCGTAGCCGGGGATTATTGGGTGTTTGTAGATGGTGTCGTTGGTCACAGCTCGGGCGTTTACGATGTCGATGTCGCGTTGTGGCGGTCGTACCACCTACAATAATAAGTACTGAGGGTTTAAATTCTGGAAGTTACCTGGTAATCGTCGGCTAGCCTATCCGACAGAACGAGTTTTTCCGCATGGTGTACAGTCGGGTCTAGGAGGAGTTTATGAGTGGTAGTACCGTAAGTGTCTCCAATGCGGTACTTGTACTGGGGGCAAAACCCGGTGTATCTGTAACGAAAAAGATAAATTGTGTCCTCGACGTGGGTGCTTTTACCCTGGAATGAAGTGGGGATCTGGGGCTGATACTAGCTCCATTACGACCAATTTTGTTAACGGAAATTTAACGAAACCCCCCGAATAGTTAGTCACAGATTGACAAGCCCTGACACTTTGACAATTTTTAAGGGAAACTGGTGGTACCACTGTTCGGGTGACTGCGAACAATGGAATAACTCGGGTCGTCGTCATACCTCAGGAATTTGTGTTCGTTGGTATTTTATAAAGAGAATAAAACTTGAAGTTGAATCAGTGTTTGTCAAGTAGTGGGTCCGTTAGAACAGGAGTCAAGTTTTGTGTAAATTTCAAGGTTCGGGTGCATGTTCTGTCTGAACTATTCCGTTTCTTGGCTCATTAAGTGTGCAAAAAAGACATGACAAGCTCAAACGTTGTAAAGAATTCTGTAGTGTGGTAGTTGTTTTATGAACAATTGGAGGCAAACAATAAGCTGATTTTAGAGTGTTATTGTAATGAGGTATTGCGCAAGCAAACACATTAGGGTCTAGGTCTATGTCAACACAATTTTGTTTGGAATGAACTTTGAATCAAGATTTTTCAAATTTTTTTCAAAAATTAAACACCAGTTTTCATTTAAGATTTTTCAAATTCTTTCAAAAACAAGACACTTGGGGTCACAAAACTTTTATTTATTTCTTTTTAATTAAAACGGCAACAAATTTCAAAATTCAAAATTTTTTCAAATTCTCTCTCCAAGTTTTTTTTTAATCGCCAACAGACAGAAGACAGACGACAGTCAGTTCCCGAGATTATTTTCAATTTTTTTAAAAATTGATTTTTTCAAAATTTTCCAAAATAAAAAAGGAGAGGTTTCCAAAATTTCTTCAAAAAAGACATATTGGTTTAAATTTTGCAAAAACCAGCGGCTCTTAAGATTCTTTCAAATTTTTTCAAAAACAACACACCAGTGACCTCCAAGATTCGTTCAGATTTTTTTAAGGGACCCAAGATTCTTTCAAAGTTTTTCAAAAACGAAACAGCAGATGCCTTCAGGATTCTCTTGAATTCTGAAAAAAACACCAGGATTACCAAAATTGTTATTTATTTTTAAAAATGAAAATAGCAGGATACTTAACATTTTTTCAAAAAGTCACAAAAGAGTCCAAAACAAAAACAAGAGGAGCTCTCAAGATGTTTTCAATTTTTTTTTCAAAAACAAAACATCAGGGGCCTCCAAGATTCTTTCAAATTCTTCAACAAAGACACTTGTACCACAAAACTTCTATTATTTTTTTTTAACTGAAACAACAAAAAATTTCAAAATTTTTATTTTTTCCAAATTCTTTAAAAAATAAACTGCAAGCAACTCCAAGATTTTTTTTTAATGTCCAACAGACAGAAGACAGACGATAGTCAGATCCCAAAATTATTATAGATGCTTTAAAAAATTATACTTGACCCCAAGACTTTTTCAAAATTTTTCAAAATGAAAATAGCGGAGGCTCCAAAAATTCCAAATTCCTTAAAAAAAAGACACTGGGATTCTAATATATTTTTTTAAATTTTGCAAAATCCAAACGCCTCTTAAGATTCTTTCAGATTTTTTCAAAAACAAGACACCAGTGGCCTCCAAAATTCGTTCCGATTTTTTTAAGGGACCCAAGATTCTTTCAAAGTTTTTCAAAAACAAAAGAGCAGACGCCTCCAGGATTCTCTTGAATTCTGAAAAAAACACCAAGATTACCAAAATTGTTGTTTACTTTTAAAAATGAAAATAGCAGGATTCTTAACATTTTTTCAAAAAGTCACAAAAGAGTCCAAAACAAAAACAAGAGGAGCTCTCAAGATTTTTTCAATTTTTTTTTTTTCAAAAACAAGACATTAGGGGCCTCCAAGATTCTTTCAAATTTTTGAACAAAGACACTTGTACCACAAAACTTCTATTATTTTTTTTTAACTGAAACAACAAAAAATTTCAAAATTTTTAATTTTTCCAAATTCTTTAAAAAATAAACTGCAAGCAACTCCAAGATTTTTTTTTAATGTCCAACAGACAGAAGGCAGACGATAGTCAGATCCCAAAATTATTATAGATGCTTTAAAAAATTATACTTGACCTCAAGACTTTTTCAAAATTTTTCAAAATGAAAATAGCGGAGGCTCCAAAAATTCCAAATTCCTTAAAAAAACACACTGGGATTCTAACATTTTTTTTTAATTCTGCAAAATCCAAACGCCTCTTAAGATTCTTTCAGATTTTTTTCAAAAACAAGACACCAGTGGCCTCCAAAATTCGTTCTGATTTTTTTAAGGGATCCAAGATTCTTTCAAAGTTTTTCAAATACAAAAGAGCAGACGCCTTCAGGATTCTTTTGAATTCTGAAAAAAACACCAAGATTACCAAAATAGTTGTTTATTTTTAAAAATGAAAATAGCAGGATTCTTAACATTTTTTCAAAAAGTCACAAAAGAGTCCAAAACAAAAACAAGAGGAGCTCTCAAGATTGTTTCAATTTTTTTTTCAAAAACAAGACATCAGGGGCCTCCAAGATTCTTTCAAATTCTTGAACAAAGACACTTGTACCACAAAACTTCTATTTTTTTTTTTTTAACTGAAACAACAAAAAATTTCAAAATTTTTAATTTTTCCAAATTCTTTAAAAAATAAACTGCAAGCAACTCCAAGATTTTTTTTTAATGTCCAACAGACAGAAGACAGACGATAGTCAGATCCCAAAATTATTATAGATGCTTTAAAAAATTATACTTGACCCCAAGACTTTTTCAAAATTTTTCAAAATGAAAATAGCGGAGGCTCCAAAAATTTCAAATTCCTTAAAAAAAAGACACTGGAATTCTAATATTTTTTTTTAATTTTGCAAAATCCAAACGCCTCTTTAGATTCTTTCAGATTTTTTCAAAAACAAGACACCAGTGGCCTCCAAAATTCGTTCCGATTTTTTTAAGGGATCCAAGATTCTTTAAAAATTTTTCAAAAACAAAAGAGCAGACGCCTCCAGGATTCTCTTGAATTCTGAAAAAAACATCAAGATTACCAAAATTGCTGTTTATTTTTAAAAATGAAGATATCAGGATTCTGAATCAACATTTTTTCAAATTCTGAAAAAAATTCACAAAGACAAAAACAAGAGGAGCTCTCAAGATTTTTTCAAAATTTTTTCAAAAACAAGACATACGGGGCCACCAAGATTCTTTCAAATTCATTAATCACTTTGCACTACAAGACTTTACAAAAAAAATAAATTAAAACAGCAGGATCCCTCAAGATTTTTTCAAATTCTTTCTAAAACAAACCACGGCGAAGCCCAAGATTTTTTTTTGGTCTCCAACAGGCAGAACACAAACAATAGTCAGGTCAGGTCAGGTCAGGTCAGGTCAGGTCAGGTCAGGTCAGGTCAAGATTATTTTAAATTCTTTAAAAAAAATTACCCTTGACCCCAAAATTCTCTTAAATTTTTTGAAAAACAAGACACTAGTGGCCTCCGAAATTCGTCCAGATTTTTTTATGGATCTCTCGATTATTTAAATTCTTTTTAAAAAAGACACAAGGGAGCCCAAGCGTTTTTCAGAACCAAAACAGTCGAAGCACTGTAGATTCTTTTGAATTCTAAAAAAAAGTGACCAGGATCCCCAAGATTCCAAAATTTTTCAAAATTCATCAGGATCCTCAAGATTCTTTCAAATTTTGATAATAAGTCACAGAGGAACCCAAGACAAAAACAGGGGGACCCCTCGAGATTTTTCAAATTTTTTTCATAAACAAGACATCAAGGGCATTTAAGATTCTTTCAAGTTCTTGAAAAAAGCCACTTGACCACAAAATTTCAATTTGTTTTTTAATTATAACAACAAAAAATTTCAAAATTTTAATTTTTTTCAAATTCTTTCAAAAATATACATCAAGCAACTCCAAATTTTTTTTTAATCACCGACAAACAGAAGGCAGACGATAGTCAGATCCCAAAATTATTTTAAATACTTACAAAAACTGCACTTGACCCCAAGAATTTTTCAAAATTTTTCAAAATGAAAACAGCGGAGGCTCCAAAAATTACAAATTCCTCAGAAAAAAGACACTGGGATTCTAATATATTTTTTTAATTTTGCAAAATCCAAAAACCTCTTAAGATCCTTTTAAATTTTCTCAAAAACAAGACACCAGTGGCCAGATTCTTTTAAATTCTTTTCTTTTAAGGAAAAACACAAGGTACTCCAAGATTCTTTCAATGTTTTTCAAAAACAAAATTGTAGAGGCCTTCGAGATTCTCTTGAATTCTCAAAAACACGCCAAGATCCACAAGATTTTTTTATTTTTTAAAAATGAAAATAACAGGATTCTTAACATTTTTCCAAATTCTGAAAAAAGTCACAAAGGGCCCAATATAAAAACACGAAATTTTTTGCAAAATTTTTCAAACAAATTTTTTCTTAAACAAATCACAAGAAATCCCAAGATTTTTTTTAAATCGCCGACGACAGCCCGATCCCTATATTATTTCAAATTCTTTAAAAAAATTACACTTGACCTCAGATTTTTTCAAAATTTTTCAAAATAAAATAGTACAGGCTCCCAAAATTCTTTCAAATTCCTTCAAAAAGACACTAGGGGGAAAATCTTGCAAAAACCAAACACCAGCGGCTGCTAAGATTCTTTAAACTTTTTCAAAAACAAGACTCCAGTGGCTACCAAAATTCGTTCAGATTAAAAAAAAATCCCAAAACGTTTTAAATTTATTTAAAGACCCTAAGAATCTAAGATTCTTTTAAAGTTTTTGGGCATGAAAACAGCAGAGGCCAAACTTCTTTTGAATTTTCAAAAAAAGAACACTAGGGACTCCAAAATTCTTTCAAACTCTTGAAAAAAGTCTCAAAGGATCGCAGTATTCTTTAATTTTTTTCAAAAATAAATTACCAGTTTCTCCCAAGAGTTTCAAATTTTCTCAAACAACACGACACCAGTGGCCACCAAATTCGTTCAAGATTCTTTTAAATTATTTTAAAGAAAACTACAAGGGACCCCTAAGATTCTTTCAAAGTTTTTCAAAAACAAAAGAGCAGAGGCCTTCGAGATTTTCTTGAATTTTGAAAAAAAAAAACACCACAATCCTTAAGATTTTTTCCAATTCTGAAAAAAGTCACCAAGGAGCCAAAATAA